TGTCCGAGGGGATCTCCCTTGCAGAGGCTGCTTCCTTGCCGTAGCCGCTTTCCCACCATTCTCCTCCATGGGGGTTCCCCGACCTGTGGGGGGACATACCGGCAGGACTGTGGGGCTGCTGTGGGACAGGACCCACCCGGCTCCCTCTCTCTGCCTTCTCCTGGGCGATCTCCCAGCTGCCCGCAGCCAGCCCTGCCAGCTCTGGGATGCTGGGGGCGAAGCTGGGGTCTCGGGAACACGGGGCCAGCCCAGGCCAGGGGCTGAGGACAGAGAGGGGTGCCGGGGCCACCGGTGGGCTCTGTAGGGGGGGGTATGTGGCGGGTGTCAGCAGAGGGCATTGGCCTGGAAACCTGCCCTCCCCGAGCCATCCCTCCCTTCCCTCGCTCCTCGAGCCCTTTCCCTTCCTGGGGCTGAGCCCGGGCCCTGGCTCTCTGCTGGATCCTGCTCTCGCCCACCCGCAGCCTCCTGGGGTCAAAGGGGCAGAGGGACCCACCAGTGGGGTTCCCCAGCCAGGGGCTCCCGGAGGGGACTGCCCCCCTGAAGGGAGGCGCTCCACTTACCTTGCCTTCAGGCTCTCGGCAGAGCTCTCCACGCCTTCCCAGGGGACGGATGATCCTGGGGGAAGAGACAGAGGGAGAGTGAGTGAGGGCAGCCATCTCTCGCGGGGTGCAACGGCGTCTCTCAGCCGGGAGCCGCTGCGGAGCCCGGCGCAGCTCTGGGACGGGGCTGCTCACCTATCGGGTCCTTCCTCCTGCTGCTGCGACGTCTCTTCCCCGCAAAGGTCCCCTGCCCCCAGAAAGCAAGCCCCTGGTTAGCGTGAGGTGTCTCCCCTCCCCTGCCTGGCAGACGAGGACCCTTGGAAGGGTAACCGGAGTTTCAGGGACAGGAGTGTCCCTGGCCCCGAGCCCGGTGCCTGAGCGGAGGTGGCTCGGTGGCTGCGGAGCAGGGGCCTGCCTGGGTGGGCAATGGCCGCTGTTCACCGCTCCCTCCCAAAAATCCCCGGGGATGGGCTCTGCCCCGGGCTAGCCCCTGCCCAGGGAGCGTTTGGGGCGATGCCAAGACGGACGCCTACCTTGACCTTGGCCTTGATGTTGGGCCACCAGGTCATGAAGATGCCCAGACCCAGGATGGTCACCAGGCTGGGGGTGCAGGGCAGCACGAGTGTGCAGAGGCCCCAGAGGCTCAGGCTGGAGAGGAAGAGCAGCACCGTCAGCTTCCACTCCTCCATCTCGCGCAGGGATCGCCAGCATCTCCTCCAGCGGTTCTGCATGACCAGGGGATGTGCAAAGGCGTCAGGAGGGCCCCTTTGTGGGGAGGCCGAGAAACCCGGGGAGGAGAGGTTGGGGGGACGCCAAAGCACCCCGCTCCTACCTGCTGGTTTGCTTCTCCTCCCATCTCTGCTGTGTTTTCCACACGCTTGCCCATCTGCTCGCTGGCTCGCGTGCAGTCAAAGTGACACCCGAGCCTCCCCGCAACCTGTTAAGAGGGGGACCACCTTTGTGATGCCGTGGTGACATCGTGTAGACACACAGTGGCTGCCACGTCAACCCAGGGCTGAGCTGGCGTGGGAGATTGTGAAGCCATCGGGGAGCAGCCACCCCAGAGAGCCCCTGTGTCAGGGTTCGGAGGGGCGGCACACCCCAGGACGTAGCCCAGGGCCTGCGGGAGAGTGGGCAGGGAAGGTCCCTCTGGGCCACCCACCTCCACCCCTCGGCCGGGATGGGCCACTGCGATGGCTACCTGGTCCTGGTGGCACCAGGGCTGCTCTGGCACCCCGGGGGGACCTGCTGGTGGCCCTGGCAGCAGCCCCCCACTCCCGTCCCCGGGGACTGACGGGTTCTCACCAGCCAGGGACACCGTGATGGTCCCTCCTCCTCTCTGTTGCACCAGGGATCCCGGCCAGGGCCCCGGGACACCCCGTCGGGGTGGTTGTGTGGCTGCAGGGAGGCAGGAAAACCTGAGAGGGAAGGGTGGGGAGTAGGTTAGGTGAACTCGCCTCAAGGGTTTCTCTGCAAAATTCCCATCCACACTTAGGAGCTGTCATGGTGACTTTTCTTGCCGGTGCTCTCTAGGCTTCCATCGCCTTGGCCTGGAAGAGTGCATTGACCCTAAACCGGACATTGGGTGGCAATGGCCGGTCCGCTTACATGGTGCCCTTGGGTGCCAAGCTCTGTGCTGTCCCCAGCTGGCCCTGCTCGCTCTGGATGCTCCTCCACACTTTGGTTTTCAATTTGGACCAGGAATGCCCCATCCCTGGGGATGTTCAAGGTCAGCTCGGACAAGGCTTTGAGCAACCTGATCTAGTAGAAGATGTCCCTGTGCATGGTATGGGTGTCGGTCTAGATGATCTTCAAAAGTCCCTTCCAACCCAAACCATTCTGTGATGGTATGATTCTAACTGCCTAACTAACTACCTAACTCACTAACTACCATCATAGGCAAAACAGACTCAACTTGGGGAAGATTAGTTTAATTTATTGCCAATTAAAAATAAGGTAGGATAGTAAAACAAAAACAAAAGTAAAAACTTTTGTAAAAGTAAAAACCTTCCCCCCACTCTGTCTTCTTCTTAGGTTCAACTTGGCTCCTCCATTCCCAACTCTTTGGCCTCCTCTCCCCCAAGGGGCAAAGAGGGGTGCAGAGTAGGGGTTGCAGTCAGTCCATAACACTTTGTGCCGCTGTTCTCCTACTCCAGCTTGGGGCTCCACCAAAGGGATACAGCCCTCCTCACACTGCTCCAACATGGGTTTTTCCCAAGGGCTGCAGTTCCTGACAGAAAATGGCTCCACCATGGGGTCCCGTCCACGGGCAGCAGCATCCTTCAAGGCACATCCACCTGCTGCAGTGTGGGGTCCTCCATGGGCTGCGGTGTGGATATCTGCTCTGACATGGTCCTCTGTGGGCTGCAGGGAGACAACCTCTTTCACCATGGTCTTCTCCATGGGCCAATGTATTGGGCTTGTCCTCACTGTGCTGACAAATGTCCCTGCTTGGGGATGCAGGGTCCATGGGCCCTGGGGGGCCTGTGGCAGCCATTGTGTGTCGACACGATGTCACTGTGGGCGATCTCACCTGGGACAGAGCTCTGGTACCTGCACAGGAGCTCAAGGGGCAGCAGAGGCTGACAGGGCTTTTCTGTGCCACACACTGCCGCGCTCCCAGGGTACGGACACTGGGGAGAGGCAGCGGGAAAAGAGACTGCAACTGGGAAGCAGCGGGGCAGATGGAGGGAAGGAGGAAGGGGCTTGTCTTGAACAGCAGCCAGTGACAGGCAGTCTCCCCACTACCGTGAGACCTTGGCAGAGAAGCCAGCAGTGAAACTCAACCTTTATTGACCGATTAAAATAGTAGCATCCTTAAAGCACCCCCGAGATAATGAGCAGGGGGCAGTGACTTCCAGGGCTATAAGGGTGTCAGGGACAGTGCTGGCAAGGGGGACAGACATTGGGGCTGCTCTGTGCCTCATCCCGACCCTAGGCAGGGCTAGCATGTCCCCAGCTGATCCATCCCAGGTCCCTGCTTCATCCTTGTTTCTGAATGTCCCTCCAACGACCATTTTGGAAATGCACCCAAGGCCCCAGTGCTGCAGCCCCAACTCTTGCTTCCCTTCACCTGATCCTTCTAGGGGACTTCTGCTGGACATCTGCTGGAAAAGTGGCCCAGAAAGCTTCAAGCAGTCTAGTAGACTCTTGGTGTGCATTAAGGATAACTTCCTAACCCAGGGTATAGAAAGGCCAACCAGAGGAGACGTGTTACTGGACCTGTGCCTCACCAACACAGAGGAACTTATTGGAGAGGTCAAGATCAGTGGCAGCCTGTGCTGCAGTGATCAAGCCCTGGTGGAATTCATGATCTGGAAGGATATAGGTCAGGCGAAAAGTATAGTCAAAACCCAAAACCTGAGGAAAGTGAACTTTCGGTCGTTTAAGGAACTGGTGGATGGGACCCCCTGGGAAACTGCCCTCAGGGATAAAGAAGCAGAAGAGAGCTGGCAGCTCTTTAAAGACATTTTTCTTAGAGCACAAGAACTACTGATTGCCATGTGCAAGGAATCAGGCAACAAGGCAGGAGACCAGCATGGCTGAGTAGGGGTCTCCTGGTCAAAAGATGCATAGGCAGTGGAAGCAGGGACATGCATCGTAGTAAGTATGTGGGGATACTGCCCAGGGATGGGATCAGGAAGGCTAAGGCACAGCTGGACCAAAATTTGGCAAGGGATGTGAAGAATAATAAGAAGGGCTTCTATAGGTATGTTAGTCAGAAAATGAAGACAAAAGAAATGGTACCCCCCCGATAAATGAGACAGGGGGTCTGGTGACAACTGACCTGGAGCAGGCTGAGGTCCTCAACAACCTTTTTGTCTCAGTTTTCAATGGCAATTGCTCTTCCCACATCTCTCAGTTCCCTGAATCTCAAGGCAGGGAGTAGAGGAATAAAGTCCCACCCATCATAGGAGAAGATCAGGTCTGAGACCATCTGAGGAACCTGAACATACACAAGTCCATGAGACCTGGACCCCCAGGGTGCTGAGAGAACTGGCAGATGTAGTTGCTAAGCCACTCTCCATGGTCTTTGAAAAGTCCTGGCAGTCAGGTGAAGTCCCCAGTGACTGGAAAGCATCACACCCATTTTTTAAAAGGGTAAAAAGGAGGACCCTGGGAACAACCAACCAGTCAGCCTCAACTGTGTGCCTGGTCAGATCATGGAAGAGATCCTCCTGGAAAACATGTCAGGGCATATGGAAGACAGGGAGTTGATTAGAGACAGCCAACATGGCTTCACCAAGGGCAAATTGTGCCTGACTAATCTGGTGGCCTTTCACAATGGAGTGACTGCGTTGGTGGATAAGGGAAGAGCAACTGCTGTCATTTCTCTTGACTTCTGCAAGGCTTTTGACATGGTCCCACACAACAGCCTTGTTTCTAAATTGGAGCGATATGGGTTTGATGGATGGACTATTTGGTGGATAAGGAATTGGCTGGACAGATGCATCCGAAGAGTTGTGGTCAATGGCTCTATGTCCAAAGGGAGATCAGCGACAAGTGGTGTCCCTTCTGGGTCTGTATTGGGACTTGAGGATACTGAGGGACATGAGCCAGCAATGTGCACTTGCAGTCCAGAAAGCCAATTGTATCCAGGGCTTCATCAAAAGAAGTGTGGCCAGCAGGTCGAGGGAGGTGATGCTCCTCCTTGACTCCACTCTCATGAGACCCCACCTGGAGTCCTGCATCCAGCTCTGCGGTCCCCAGCACAAGAAAGACATGGACGTGTTAGAGCAGGTCTAGAGGAGGCTATGAAAATGGTCAAGAGAGCTGGAACACCTCTGCTATGGAGAAAAGCTGAGAGAGTTGGGGTCGTTTAGCCTGGAGAAGAGAGGCTCTGGGGCACCTTGCTGTGGTCATTATATATTTCAATATGTAAAGGGGGCTTAAAAGAAGGATGGAGAAAGACTTTTTACCAGGGCCTGTAGTGACAGGGCAAGGGGGAACTGTTTTAAGCTGGAAGAGGGTAGGTTTAGATTGGCAATAATGAAGAAGTTCTCACCATGAGGGTGGTGACACATGGCAACAGGTTGCCCAGTGAAGCTGTGGATGCCCCATCCCTGGAAGCGTTTGCCCGGGAAGTCCCTTGCCCAGCCCAGCCCAGCCATCCCCGTCCTCATGTCTTGGTTCAGCCACGATGGGTCACTCAGCCCAGCAGAGCCGAGATCCTTCCAGGGGCTTGGAGCAACCCCAAAGCCCTTCCCCGATACCGCCCTTTGCAGGATGCCTTTCTGTTCTGCCTGGCTTCTGTCCCACCCACCCAGGAAGGAGAAAGGACACGCAGCCAGCAGAGCCGCTTGTAGCAGACTCCAGCAGGGAGGTTCAATCCCCTGGAAAGGCAACGTCACTCTTATCTTCAAGAAGGGCAAGGAGCAGGACCTGGGGAACCACAGGTCGGTCAGGCCTGTAACTCCTCCATGTGGGGCTTGGGGGACATCCTGGCAGCCCTGGCAGCAGCCCCCCACTCCCAGCCTCCTCTCCTGTCTCCATGGCGACCGCAAATACAAATACCATGGCAACCCCATGGCAACAGCACAGGCAATGCCACCAGTTCCCACAGCCCGGAGGTGGGCGGATGCCCGCGCGTGCTGAAGCCGGAGTTCTCTTCCTCTGTGCTTCATGGCCACCACCCTTCCAACCCTGCAGTGGTGACCACCAGTAGCTCTGGACGGAGGAGAAGGGGTCATCCTGCTGCCCCGAGGTGGCCGGATTTGGTCTTCTCAGACCCATCCATCACTGACATCCCAGGGCTGGGGGAGCACGTTCCCTACCCCAGCACAGTCCTGCCTCTCCCGGTGCTTCATCAGCTGCTTCATGTCCAACCTGGTCCCCAGGGAGCCCCTTTCAGAGGGCATTTATTTTCCCTGGGACAGGAGCCAGGCAGAACCGAAAGGCATCCTCCAACGAGGGGTGTCAGGGAAGGGCTTTGGGGTTCCTCCAAGCCCCTGGCAGGATCTCAGCTCTCCTGGGCTGAATGAACCCATCGTAGCTGGAACAAGGCACCAGGAGGTTGATGGCTAGGCTGGGTGAGGGAGGACAGCCTGGGGTCTGTGGGCATGCGTGGAGTTGGGGTCAATGAGCAGGGATATGTCAGTAGATAATTTGTGACTTCTAGGATAGCCCAACTGGCCCTCCCCACTGCCTGCTTGGCCCCCTTGGAGTTGTCATGGGTGGAGGAGCTCCAGGACCCAGCAAGCTGAGCAGTCTTCTCACCAAGGACCTTCAGATGGCAAAAGAAGAGCACATCGGCCCCATATTGGGTGCTTTCCTGCTAACCCTCAGGGCCTGATTCCCCCATCCCCTTCCAACCCTGATGGCCTGACCCTACTTTCTGCTCCCAAGGGCTTAGGAGAGATGGGGTGCTGGTGGGGAGCACCCCCACTGGGGACCCCCAGTGCTCACACAGGCCGTGATGATCCTATCAGGATGCACCTCATTGCCAGCACTTGTCCCGGCTCCTACTGAGAGCTCCCAAAAACCACTGGAGCATCACAGTCTTGCTCCAGCATCTCGCCCGTGGCTTGGCACCCTGCACTGCCACGGCCGGTGTCCTCATCAATGCCAGTGGCAGACACCCATCTGCCCTTACTCCTGCTGTTTTCAGGGTTTTGGGGCCTGAGCCACTTGGGAAAAGGATTTTTTCACCCCCTAAAAGTGAAAACAAGATTTATTATCAAAATAAATAATAAAATAACTGCTTTGCTGGAACTTGCGATAGGTTGTGGGGGACAGCACAGGTTGGCCGGCCTCAAGATGGCAGCAATGACATGCAGCATCCCTTTACCCGCTTCGAGTGAGTGGGGACCGCTCCATCCAACCCTCCTGGCTCCAAGGACACCCCTAGCCGCCTCTCCCGGCATCGTCTCCCCGCTTCTTCTACACGACTCCGGCGCTACACAACTTCTGCTCCTTCTCGGTGCCCCTAAAATCTGCTGGTGGCTCTGGAGCTCCAACTGGCGTCCTCCTCCATCACCCCGACCCTTCGGCCCTGGCCCTGCTCCCTGGCAAAAGTAAGTTGGTGCCTTTCTCCCTCAAGCACCCCAGCTCTGGGATGCTCCAAGCCGTTTCCGAAGCACTGCTCCCTAGTGATGGGAGAGGTGCTATTAATAAATCCCGTCAGATTTTATCGCTTTTCTCTGTGCCAATGAAGAGGGTGGTTTGGGGAAGAGGGGAGGCGGGGGGAAACCTATTTCTCTTGAGCGTTTTCGTAGCTACGAGCTCACCCTCGGTGCAGGAGCATGGGATGGCTCAGCAGGCTGTTCAGCCAGCTTTCCTGTAAGTCACGGGGCTGAATCCGCTGGGGGCTCGGGGAGGGGGCTGTTGGGTTAATTTTTGGCAGGGATTAGCAGAGGGGAAAGGGTTGCCCTGCTCCCTGGGGGCTGTGCTGGCCAGGGCATGGGAGCAGCATGCCAGGGTCTTTCCCAAACTTGTGTGGAGCCCAGGCACCTCCCTGGGAGTACGTGGGCGAGATGGGACCGGGACAAGGGGATGGAGAGGGAAAGGGGTGCAGAGGAAAGGAGTGTGCAGGGCTGATGCACATCCCTGGCTCCATGGAGCCGCGGCAGCAAACAGAGGGGTCTCTCTCCCCCCACCCCAGCTGCCCCCGCTGCCCAGCGTGTGTCCTTGCCGGGAGGTGCCGGCCCACCCGAGGTGTGTGGAGGTAGCTCCAACCCTTTGACGGTATTTAGGCATTTAAATAGCTTGGCTGGCTTCGGGCAGGAGAGTGGGCGCAGGCTGTCAGCGCTGCTCTCCGTGCGTGGGAGAGCTGCCGCGGGAGCTCCGGGCACTGCTGGCGGCTGGGCTGGGTATAGGGTCATGGTGGTTGACCCGTGTCCATCCGAATCTCTTGTGGTCCCCGAGAGGGTCTTGCTCATGCCCAGAAGCTTTTTGGTCTCTGTGCCTCTTTCCCTGCATGTCTCAGGGTGCAAGAAGGTCCTGCTGTCCCTCCGTGCCCAGGTGCCGGAGCGTGCTGCGGGGATGCTCCGACTGTGTTCCAGCGGCTGTAGCAGGAAGGAGCCATGTCCAGGTTGTGCCTGGTGTAGCACCAGTCGCTCCCAGGCATCACACATTGCGGGGGGTGTAATCTGGGGGCAGCAGGGGAGGAGAGGGAGCTGAGCGGAGAAGGGATGGGAAGGAGTCGGGGTGAGACCTATCTCTGAACACCACCTCCAAGGCAGGGGATGCCCACGCAGGGAGGGACCCCCCCATGCCAGTGATGGGGCTGAGTGATGGGATACAGCCATTGATGGGGTGACACGGCAGGGACCTGCCAAGCAGTGGGTGGGAGGGATCCACGGGGGGGCTGCAGCTCCCTGGGACCCTGCATGCTCCTGCCCGGGGTTTGGGCAACTGCCCAGCCAGTTTTGCCTTGCTGTTTCCCCATTCCTGCTCAGCAGGAATGCCACCCCCACCACCCCCAGGATCGCAGCTGCCCCACTGCATGCCATGGGGCAGGGGGCATGGGGTGCACCCCATTTCTTCCCTCCTCCTCCAGCTCTTCCTCAGTCCCTTGGTGTCCCCAGTGCCACCCAAACCATTTTGGCAGAGCCCTGGGGTCGGGGTCAGGTCTTCTGGGGGCCTGGGTGGCCGGCCTCGGTGGCCGTCCATGGAGGGGGTCCTCAGAGGAGTGTTAAAGCAGGCGTTAAAGGGGGGGCCTGGTGCACCCCAGAAGTAGGGAGGTGTTGCTGCAGCCCCGGGGGTGTGGCGGTGCCGGACGGCCGTCCCGTGACCACGAACATCGGCCCCGGCAGCTCTCGCACCGTCCTCCTTCCTGCCTTGGGTTCTTCCGCGGTGCTGGGGCGTCCCCCGGACTCGTGGTTTTGGGGGGGGGGGAACCCCTGCAGCAGGGGCTCACTGTGCCAGCTCTTCCAAGGTACAAGCGGAACCAAGCCTTGAACGCCGGCCGCCTCGGGCTCCCTGCCCAAATTCCCGACGGATCCCAAAACCTGCCCCAACCCGCCCGCAGGACTGAGGTGGGGAAGGCTGGGTGGGCAGGTGAGGGGTCCTGGGCCTTCCTCGCCTCTCGCCTCCTCTTCCTCCCCGGCGTCGGCAGCTCCGGTGAGCCCTTTCCGGAAGCGGGCGGTTGGGGAGGAGCGGTTTCGCCACCGGTACCGACTCACCCACTGGGCCAACCCTCCCCGCCGGCGACGCCATCGACCGTTCCTGCTGCCGCCGCCGCCGGGGCGAGGAGCCGGGGGGAACAAAGGCGGCTCCTGTGCCCTCCGCCAAGGTGAGAGCCTCTGCCAGCTCTCAGCGGGAGGGGGGACACACGACACGCTTGGGTGCCAGGAGGGGACGGGGGGGAGAGCCGAGGGAGGACAGGCAATGGGAGCCTGGGTGGGCACAGGAGAGGGGCACCCCTGACCCCGTGGTGGGGGTCCCCCAACACGGCCGGCCATCCACGGTGGACGGGCAGGGTTTCCTTAGCCCTCCCCGCAGCGGTGCTGGGGTGCTGGGGAGTTTTGGGGGGTACGAGGGTAGGGTGCAATGCTGCCCCCCCAACGCTCCCCACCCTGCAGCCAGCATTCGGGAGGTTCCCGGGCTCTGCTATCTCCTGCTGGCGACAATGTTTGCCCAACGGCGGGGCGGTTCCTGCCGGAAAACATGCCTGCCTGCTTACCTGCGCTCACTGGCACGGCACGGCGCCCATTGAGGACACGGGGGAGGAAAGCCGGAGATGGGAGCGTTGCAGTCCAGGGGGCTGATGCAACAGCCCCGTGTGCTTCCCGCTGGGATTCGATGCAGCTGGGGATGCGTGATCCCAACGGAGGATTCCCCCGGGACACACTGCTCCTCCTAACCCAGCCCTGGTCAGGTAAATCTGCCCCACATCCCATGGCTGGAAAAGGCAGCCCCACCGCCGGGTCCCATGGGACAGGGACATCCAGGGGGATATCTGACCGCTTGGCCAGGGATCGGGAAGGACTTGGGGGTCTTGGAGGTGGCACATGGGGCTGGGACTGTCCCAAGGAGGCGGTGGGGAGCTGGTGACATGCAGCAGCCAGGGAAGGCTGGGTGCACGTCCCATGCTGGCAGCGGGACCACGCTGGACAAGGCACCGGCATTAGGGCAGGGAGGTGGGGAGAGGTTAGCGCTGGTGGCTGGGCCTGATGTGGTGTGAGGGCTTCATGGGCAAGGTGATGCTGCAAGGGTCCTCCACCCCCGTCTTGGCCCAAAACTGCACCCAGCACAGGGCTATTTCCAGGACGAGGTGGCCATTGGGGCCCCGAGGTCTGTCAGGGAGGGGACAGCCAGCTGCAGTGTCCCACTGCATCCATCTCGTACCCCTCCTTGCTGCCTTCGTGCTGGAGGAAGCCTTGGGGAAGGGGCAACAGCAGGGCTTGCTGGGGCACAGGGACACCCCAGGAACGGTCCCATTCTCACCGGTCGCTCCCGCAGGCGGAATCACCTCCAAGTGCTCCGCTGGCATCAGCCGCATGGCAAAGGCAGAGGAGGATTCTGCGAGTTCACCTCTGCGTGGCTGTGGGTGAAAGATCCTTGTAGCAGGAGCCAAAACCCGGTGTCCGTGAGCTTCCCGGCACCTGGCAGGGAAGGGCAGCATTGGGATACAGATCATCCCTTGGGTTCAGGTCCGCAGCCCTGATTTACAGCTCCCAGCCTTGCCTGCAAGGGCATAGGTGAGGGTCGGAGCAAGAAGAGCTGCAAGGGAGCAGAATGCATGTGTCTGGAGAGCCATGGGCGTTAGAGAGCCGGGGACAGGGGCTGCCCGTTCCATGGTGTCTGAAGAGGACGGGCAGGGATGCACACACAGTGCGTGGTGGTGTGTGTGCACGGGAAACACAGCCTCACCTTTGCCAGCAATGTTTTGCACGTGCTAGTGAGACACACACGCGCGTGTGCAAGGGCACACACAGGTCTGGCGTGCAGGGGCACAAGTGCCACTGTCACCAAGCTCTGCGTTTCCATGCCTTTGCGCTCAGCTATTATTAATATTCAGCATAAAGGCTCTTCCAGGTGCTGGGGGCTGGGAAAGCAGTGTCTGAATCATTTTGCTTTTTCCCTGGCAGAGTTATTACTCATGAGGGGTAGACGGAGCTGAGAACCTTTCATGCAAAGCCTTGCTCGTGTTTCAAATTGCAGTGGTGGCAGACCCTATGTGATATGCACGTCTCCTCCAGCGAGGCATCCTGGCACGCAGGAGGGGTAAAGCCCAGGATGCCTGGCACAAAAATCCCAGGGAGATCTTTCCCCAGGGAATCATGAGCGTAAAATTAGGTTTTTCTGTTGGAAAATCTTCCTGAGGGGTGGCAATCCCTCTGACTTGGCTGTGTTTTCCCCTGGGATGAGGCTGGCCAGCTGGCCCGCAGCTCCTGTGGGGCAGGGAGAGACAGTGCTGGTGGCCACGGTGGCATCGCAGTGAGGCCACCCAGCTCTGTTTGGGGAAGTGGCATCAAAAAGGGAACAGGAACATGACGTGTTGGATATGCGGCTCCCATCAGCCCCTGGGGAAACCTCACAGGACTCAGTTGGGCTTTTTGTTTTGGGGCGGTTTGCTATGTTTCATGTTAAAAAATGGCTAAAAAAATAGTTTCAGCAGAAGTCTGGTTCCCACAGGGGAAAACCCAGCAGCCACGTCCTGGGAGGGGGGAGGCTTCTCCCTGGCTGAACTACCAGTAAGGCAAGTTAGCTAGTGCACTGGGCTGAACTGGGATGGCCCCGCTGTGCAGAAAGGTGCCGCGCAGGGAAGGAAGTGCTGCAGATTCTGGGGCAGGCAGCGTCACTGTGAGCAGCCACTCCGTACACCCCAGAGACCACAGCTTGTCTGAGCAAAGAGCCACTTGAAGGCACGAGCAGGGCTCCTGTTGGGAAAAAAGCCCGGACATTTTTAGGGTGTGAGTTATTTCATCCCGGGGAGAACTTGAAAACAGTGGCCTAGAAGTGTCTGGTTTGCTCTTGAGACTGAAAAGTTGCACAGTGATGCCTGCCTCGGGGAGGTGATTTCCGCGGAGGTTTTCAGCATCTTGGCCCCGTTAACTGATGCAGGAGAGCTCTGCCTGTCCCTGGCCCTCATCCCTGCCTGGCAGGGAGTCCTGGTACCTGCCCCGCTTGAGTCCCAGCTCTGCCCACCCAGCATCAGCCCAATGCAACTACTTGTGCAGATTTGATAGACTTCCATCTCAGCAGGAGCGGTGCCACGGGCAACCTGACCTTGGTCTCGTGTCCTAGGCTGGCTTTAGCAAGTATGGCCTGGGGTGCTCTGCCTCTGAGCCTTGTGCAAGCTGCTGCACACCCTGCACACTGCCGTGTCGCACACCTTGCCGTATTGTACGCCCGACCACGCCGCACGCTGTGCCGTGTTGCATGCTGTGCCGTGTTGCATGCTGTGCCATGCTGCACACCCCTCTGCCCCTGCATGAAGGAAATCATCTCTTCCCTTCCCAGGGCCCCCGAGCTGGCGGCTTTTCCTTCCCTCGTCCCGGCCGGGTGCTGCTGTTGCAGGGTTAGAGCAGGGCAAGGCTGGGTGCCAGGTGGGGGGGGGGCCAGGCTGCAGGGCTGGGGGGCTGCCTGGGGCTCCCCTCCCTGCTCTGAGCCACGGCAGGGCAGAGGAGGAAGAAGAGGAGGAGGAGGAAGGGGGATTGCCTTCACCTCCCTCTGCCACTACAGCCAGAGGCAAAATACCTGCCTGTGTTGCCAGGATCTGGCCTGTCCCCGTGGGGCCCAGCAAACGGGGAATTTCCACCTGGCAGAAACCGGGGCGTTTTACTGCCTGGTTTTATCTCCAAAGGTTGAAGCACGGAGGGATTTCAGATGGGGAAATCCCCCCCACATCTCCAAACCCTTCCCCTTGCAGAGACAGCATGGGATGTTCAACCGGCTCTGCTCCATAGGTGAGAGCATCGCTGCCCCGGCCCTCTGCAGAGACGGAGTGACGTGAAATAAAGCTGCCTTTCCCCTGCTAGGACCGGCCCCAAATCAAAAGAAAACCTTGAGGTCAAAAAACTAGGGACCTCTCACTGAAAAAAGTTCAGAAATCACCCAGTTTGGGGGAGTCCAAGGGGATTAAATGTCATGTTTTGGCCTGAGCTGGTGCGTCTGCAGCTCAGGCCAGGTGGGCAGAGAGCTGAAGGCACCTTGGAGGGTCATTTGGCTTATTTCATTTTTTTAAATGGTATTTTAAATGTTTATCATTCCGAGAAAAAGGCTGGAAACTTTGCAAAGATTAAAAAACTTTTGGTTTGGTGGGAGCCAGTCTTGCGTAAGCCCGCACAGCAGTGTGATAGCGTGTGGCAGAAATGATTGACGAGCAAGAAAATAAAATACTCAATTAAATGACAGCAATTATTTTCTCCCAAACTCAGCTGAATTCCCCATGGAAATGCAAACTTTCCACATTTTGCAAACCCAGCCGAATGTGCTGGGACTCTTAACGCAGCCCAACCGGAGAGGTGGCTGTAAAGCCGTGCTGCAGCCATCGAGGACAGTATAGATAATATAATGGGTGGCATGGGACCTGCTAACGAACCTACCAAGCATAGTGAGAGAGCTCAGTGGTGGAGCCCAGCAGTTTGGAAAGGGAAATGAGTTTCAAAGCAGAACTCAGGGGTGACTTCCGAGCTGATGCTTGGTGGTTTTTGCTGGGGGAGGTCATCACTGTGTGGTGTGACTGTGGCCGAGGGCTTTTCCAGGCTGCAGAGAAGTGGCTGGAACTTGAAATTCCCGGCTGGCGCAGGGGAAGGGCTTGGAGGAGCTGCAGCTTGGCACCTTCTGGGAAATTTCTGCCAAAAAAGCTACAACCTATCCAGGAGTTTTGGAGGAGATGAGTTTTCTTCAGAAAGCTGAGATGAATATAATAAGTGGAATTGTTGTAAGCACCCAGAAATGGGTGCCCTGGCTGCGGTAGGGACCCTGATGGGTACCTTGGTGTGGTGATGCCAGCCGCATCCCACGGCCGATGCCTGGTGCCAGCTCCCTCCCAGCCTCGTGTGTAGAGGGGGGGGTTCTACCACAGACCCTCTATTTTCCTTTCCCTCCTCCTTCCCAAAAGGAAGCAGGAGCAGCATCTCCCGTGATTCCCACGGGTTGCCTGGCGACTGGGATGCTTAGCGACCAGGACCCGCCGGCACACTTCCCGCCGTGCCAAAAATGATGCTGCAAGCCTTCGCCCGCTCCGCTTCCTTCTCCGGCAGAAAGGTTACCGGGAAATACGCCCACCCTGTTCCTAGGAAGCTGTTTGCCCTCCCTGAGGGGAGGCTTTGAGTGCCGCTCAGG